AATAAGAGTACGTTTTAGGCCATTTCAAGCATGTCAAAAATTTTGCGTGGGCACACCTTTGCGCAAGCATAAATTTGCGCGCACGTTTGTGTTCGTAATGGTCGTACGCAACCTAGAATCGCCATTTTTTTTGTCTATCATAGTATTGCCCATGTTATTCCGAACAATTTGATACCATGTTTATCTCTTTATGACCATTAATAACGAAATGAGCGTCCGTTCAAGGTAAATGTCCGTTCGAACCCTCAATTAACTCACGACGTCATGACATCATGACATCATCATGAAGGCCTCCGTTCAAGGTAAATGTCCATGCGTGCGAGCTCTTGTAATATATAGCATATATGGGCAAAAACATGCCTATACAAAATCCATTGTAGCTCTTAAGGATGCAAGATGACCCCAATTTTTTTTTCATATCTTGATAAAGTATGAGTCGGAAATATGATTTCATGTCTCATTTGACCCTCAATTAACTCATGACGTCATCATAATGGCCTCCGAACTCAAAATTTCAATTTGCATATTATGACGTCATCATATTTTTGGAAAATTGGTATGTATATCTGTAAATATTGATCAATTTTCATCCAAATTTTGATATGTTTTAGCTGAGACAATTCTCTACAGATGCAGTATCCACAAATTTTCATTTTGATGAAAACATCATGGCGTATTTTTGCGATCAAAGGAGGCATGTCGATTTTTTACATTTTGCGTGTATTCTCTATGGGACATAACTTTTTCTCAAAACTGGATTCTACATTCCTGTCTTTCACGAGCAATATCTCCGTCGTCTTAGCTTCGTTTTCACTGAGCATCGAGTATGTTGTAGCTGAGACAATAAGCTATCACAAGTGTGCCACTTATTTCTCGATCAGATGCCGGGAACATGCTCATATTTCACTTGCAAAGTGGGATTTGAGAATTTCATTTTCCGTTTACGTGTAATCAATCACTATGGGAAATGTTTTGGTATATCGGTAACGCACTTGACTTCCAACCTCGAGGTCCCTGGTTCGAGTCCGGGCGTCTCCAACCTTTTTTTTTTTACTTTTTGACCTTTCACTGTACCATCTCCTTTGAATACTAAAACATGTAGAATCGCAAATCGCGTAATAAACAGCCATATTTACTTTATTATAACCCTATTTTCACTTGATCCATTACTTTTTGTGTGTAATTCCTAAGGGAGATGACTTTTTCTCAAATCTGGAATCTACATTCCTATCTTCTGCGTGCAATATCGACATTATTTCTGCTTGGATTATGTTGATTTTCGAGTATGTTGTAGCTGAGACTATATGCTATCTAAATGTTCCCCCATTTTTTTCAATCAGATGTCATCATGGTCTGTTGATCATCATCATCGTCATCACCATTACTATCAAGATCATCATCATCATGATCATCATCATGATCATCATTGTTTACATGCCTATATAACTTGAAGGCAGACCACCTTATTCGTCCTCGTGACGAATTAAATTCTAGTGTTATATTTGTCCTACATTTTATGATATTGAACTATCTTAATTTAATGTTAGTATAGCAAGAATTTGTTTTTAACTCACTTTTAAAGCACTGTTTTCTCCTTTTACAGAGACGGCTGCATGATTCCCTCCTCGATTGCGACGACATTAAAACTGCACACGTTGCGCTCATCATACAATTCTACATGCATCCAACAAGTCGTCACAAATACAAATCGCCTCTGGACAACTCGACACAATACCCCGGATATTTCGCCACACTATCCTGGACAACTCGACTGTAGCAGGTTGTCCAGGGTATTGTGGCGAGATGTCCAGGGTATTGTGTCGAGTTGTTCAGGGGCGCGGCGAGTTGTCTTTGTGGCGAGTTGTCTGGAATTTGGTGAAACCATATGTGACGTTATCTTGCGCAATATCTGACGGGTAGTTGTCTTATCTCGCAGACGTTTTCATTTATTGCTTTATCGCAGGTTTAAAGCACCTAGGCCTCTTATTTCGTACAAATTTCTAGATAGACTAGACTCTATAGAAATACCTATTATTAGAGTAAAGGAGGGGGTAAACAACCAGCTCCAGTTTTCGGCCGATCCGTTGGATGCATAGTAAAAAAACCTTTAAAATACATCGCATAATAGCATATCACATATCCCACACATACCATACCATGCCAGAGTCACTGAAGAACCACATTTGCAATGGAAAATATATCCTAAAATATCACATTTTAGCGATGTAATCGGCGGTCCCGCTACCCAAATCTGAAAAAAATCGAGTTTCTTACGCATGTATGTAAGAAAAATAGGTACCATAAAATGAGCTTTATTTCAAGTATTTTTCAGATTTAGAGCCCCATTTTGTGTTAGTCGCAAGCTCAAAAGTACAGGTGTATCTCATCGCATGTATTACATAATGCAGCCGGACCCCGCAACGCATACACGATATGTCTGTCTAATTCAGATTCCAACTTCCGATCACTGCAGTGCTAGTCTTCGACCAGGCGACCACCCAGGAGCTCCGGCGTGGGATACCTGCTCCGCCCGCTTGTGCTATAGATCAGCGCGGAAAAGCTCGGCGTGCGCTTCCTATTGACTTTTTACATGCGGTCGTAAACTGAATCGCTAGGTCGATAACTGGCTCCAAAACAGTGAAAATTGAAATGAATATTGTCATGGCAATTCGTGATTTTTTTTCTGGGATTCTTTTTTTTTTAAATAATAATAATATTTGCTTCTTGATTTGAACAAGAAATGTTATAAAATGGCTCTAGTATTTTAAGCATCATGATTAGTCAATACGCATCACATGACATTGACAAATTTTTGATGCAAGCACGATTTTGCAGAAAAAAGCGCAAAAAAAGTTATAATACATGTGACCATGGAGATCCAGCGCGCGCGTACGCGTAGTACTAGTACGCTCCCTCGAGTGCATTGTAGGCTATAGGCTACGCGTAGCTAATATTGTATGCTCCACCTTGATCCCCAGGGCAGCTAGCTAGCTAGAGCGAGGTATTATTAGAAAGCAAATTTTTATTTTACTTTTGCCTTGGATTTAGATCTAGACCTTTTTTTACTTTTGGATTTTATAATGAAGCCAGGAATTTCAGCTGTCGTAGACTCGTCTCTAGACCCCCTATGGATTTTATTTTTAATCAAACAATGAATCCCATGGACTTTTTGGTAAGCCTGCAAGGTCTTACTCTTATTTTAGTCTAGTAGAACCAACATAACTCTAGATCTAGATCAAACTCTCGTAGACTCTTACTTAAGATCTAAACTTTTGTTTGTTGCTATTTGTGTCGCTATTTTATAAAACAAATAGAGTAAAGGAGCCCGTTTTCGGCCACTTAAGACAAAATCCTATTTTTAGGACTCTTTACTTCCTATTTATTATCATTTCTTGTTCAAATCGTGAAGCAAATATTATTATTATTTAAACAAAAAAAGAATCCCAGAAAAAAAATCACGAATTGCCATGACAATATTCATTTCAATTTTCACTGTTTTGGAGCCAGTTATCGGCCGAGCGTTTCAGTTTACGGCCGCATGTACAAAGTCAATAGGAAGTGCTCGCGCGCGCTGTGCGTTTCCGCGCTGATGTACAGCACAAGCGGGCGGAGCAGGTATCCCACGCCGGAGCTCCCTGGTGCTCGCCTGGCCGAAGACAGGCACAGCGGTGATCGGAAGTTGGAATCTGAATTAGACAAGACATATCGTGGGTGCGTGGCAGGGTCCGGCTGCATTGATTTAATACATGCGATGAGATACTTTTGAGCTTGCGACTAACACAAAATCGGGCTCTTAATCTGAAAAATACTTGAAATAAAGCTGATTTTATGGTACCCATATTTCTTACATACACGCGTAAGAAACTCAATTTTTCAGATTTGGGTAGCGGGACCGGCGATTACATCGCTAAAATGTGATATTTTAGGATATATTTTCCATTGCAAATGTGGTTCTTCAGTGACACTGGCATGGTATGGTATGTGTGGGATATGTGTTATGCTATTATGCGATGTATTTTAGAGTGATTTTACCTTGCATCCAACCAATCGGCCGAAAACGGGAGCTGGCCGATTACCGGCTCCTTTAGTACTCTAACGCACTTGTCCCTGTTGTGCGAAACGTAAATGCAGTGCACGCTCGGTTTCTTCAGGTAGTTCGCACTGTGGGTTATATCCCATTTAATTAATTAGTAGGACATTTGAAAGTGTCATCCCACAGGCTTTCAAATGTGTTGCGTTAATGTGCTGGTGCCAGTGTTGCCTGTTTTACTACACAGTCAGGATAGTGATGCTCCTATGTGTGGTCTAGACTAGATATAGACCGAATTTTCCGTCTCTTTCGTTCGTTAGCCTCTTATTGGGGTAGGGTCGGCTCTCTCTTTAGAGACGGAAGCCGTTTATACACATGTCCTTGCTAACGCCACGGCCAGTTCTGGTCGTAGCGTTTTGCCCCCAAAATCCCCCAAAATGTCATTTTACCTCGAGCATGTTATATTGTAAATTAGGCCTAGGCTATAATAAATCAGTTCCACTTACCAACTTGACTGAAATAATCAGTTTAATAGTCCCTTTTTAGGAAATTATGGGTCAAAATCGGAATCCATGTTGAAAAAGATTTTCAAAATGGATTTCGATTTTGACCCATAATTTCCTAAAAAGGGACTATTAAACTGATTATTTCAGTCAAGTTGGTAAGTGGAACTGATTTATTATAGCCTAGGCCTAATTTACAATATAACATGCTCGAGGTAAAATGACATTTTGGGGGATTTTGGGGGCAAAACGCTACGACCAGAACTGGCCGTGGCGTTAGCAAGGACATGTGTATAAACGGCTTCCGTCTCTAAAGAGAGAGCCGACCCTACCCCAATAAGAGGCTAACGAACGAAAGAGACGGAAAATTCGGTCTAGACTAGATAGTGACAGTGACACGACATTGAACACCTGGGACTGTGTCAATAAAATAGTACATTAATCAGCCAATGTTTGGGCTATCTTACCCATCAATTATATTCTCAGGAGGAAAATTCTCATCACTTGAAGTTGCAATGGGAACTTGAGCCCCTGCTTCTGCAAGTGCTACGTCAAACATGATGATTCTGAAGATTTACCGATATCCTTGTCAGCCTCTCAACTACCGAGCTCGGAAGAATGCGTCATGTAACCACGGTTTCTCACTGTAGATGGCGCTATATCATACAGTCAGCAGCCAAAAGGTCTTAAAGGTAGTCTTTACTATACTTCAGCTAGAAGGGATTAGACCACCCAGAGAGCCATCGAGGTCACTCTGACAGGTGGCTATCTCATTAACTCAGCTCTCATTTAACATAAGAAAAAGAGGATCATGGGGGACCAACAGGCACCGATTTGGGAAGTTTTCTATATAGAGGGAGCAAGTAGCTACAAGTAGGACAGTGTGCCTTTAATGTAGACGATCTGTTTTTTCTTAATGATCTATACACCAAATTGCCAGCTGCCTGGAGGATTAAGAGAATTTGCAGAGGGAGAGATGATACTCTAAATGACATTGTTGATCTTTCCAACATTAACTTTATCATTAACAAAACAGTGCATTTTTTTTAAATCTGTCTCTTCCAAAATGCTCTATAACATTTTTATTGCTATAATACAAGATGCATTTGCTTTTAAACATCCAGAGGTAATAGCTATAAATCTAGATAAGTCGGAACTACAACATGTTTCTCAATCCCCAGATTTTCCCACTCTAGATGGGAAGTTAAGGGAATTTCAGTATAAACTTTTACATAACATCATATTTTGTAATGATAAATTATATCTTTTTGGATTAACACAGTCAAATTTATGTTCCTTTTGTAGAAAAGAAGTAGAAACCTATCGTCATATCTTCTTTGAATGTTCTGAAGGGTCCAGAATATGGAATGAGATGGGAAACAGTTTACAGATGTTTCAGTTTCTTAATATGCAATGGATTGATGTGTTGCTTGGTTTCAGAAAAAATATGAAAGATAATATATTGTTAAATCATGTATTGATTTTGGTCAAAATAATATATGATTTACAGTAATCGTAAAAATGGAAAGTTCCCAACTAGCCTGAAGAATTATGTAAGGCTGTAGAGAACTCAAAAAAAGTTGAACATGAAATAGCAAAATTAAAGGACAGACTGCCAATATACATTATCAAAAATGGGAACATTTTACCCCTTAAGGCAGGGGAACTGATTGTATATATATTGTAATTCCTGTTTCCTGTTCACTCCCTCACTTTCTCATCGATCCGGACTCTTATCTGCTATCGTGTTTGCTTGTTTTTTTATATTTTATATATATTTTTTTTTTAAATAACGGTATAGTTACAGACCTCCACTGTGTTTATAATGTATGAGACAATGTACTACATGTATGTTTATACTGTAAGAACAATTGTGTTCCTATTCATCATTTTGTATAATTATGAAGATTTGAATAAAGGCAAAAAAGCTTTTAAAAAAAATGTAAAGTGGAGTAGACAGAGAGGAGATACAATTTTTTTTCAGGAAACTTTTAGTACAAACGATGTTGAGGATCGATGGGAGAGGGAATGAAGTGGGGAGTGTTTTTTTTTAGTCACAGGAGCAACCACAGTCGAGGAGTTTTTATTCTGATTTCACAAAAACTGAAGTTGAAGGTATTGAGAAGTGAGTGTGATTCAGACAGGAGGTACATTATTTTAGAAAGTGAGGTACAAAACATAAGATACATTATTTGTAATGTTTATTTTCCAGTTCGAGAAAAAAAGCAGGAACAAATAGATTTTTAAAATCATTTAAGTGTTCGCTTAAATAAATTCAATTTAAACAAATCCCTCATGATAATTGGTGGCGACTTTAATATGATTTGGAATTTTGAATTGGATATTTCAAGTAAAGGGAGTATTAGAGGTCACAAGTTTAATTTAGAATTCGAGGATTTCCTTGGAAGGTTTGATATGCTGGATATATGGAGGAAAAGAAACCTAGATACGATTCAATTTACTTACAGACAAAATAACCCTTTAATTCAAAGTAGGTTAGACTATTGGATAGTTTCAAACGAACTGGAGAAACAAATTGCCGAGCGTAATGTTATACCCTCCATAGCTCCTGATCACTCTGCCATTCATCTAGGTTTGCTTTTGGGTGATAAAGTTTTTCAGAATATAGGTCCATTTTACTGGAAGTTCAATATAGTCTGTGTTTTGATGTAGAATATGTTCAATATATGAGAGCAGAAATTAAATCTGTCGTAGATCAGGGGAAGAAAGTATTACAGACGCTAGAGTCCTGTGGGATTTCGTTAAAATGAAAGTTCATGAAAAAACAAAGACATATTCCAAAGGTAGGCACAAGAAACAAAGGGAAACCTACGCAAAATACAGAGAGATATTCAGAAGCTTGAAATTTCATTGGTTATTTCTCCAGATAATGATACCTTACAAAATTTAGAGTCAAAGAGAAAGGAACTCAAAGTGTTATATGATCAGAAAGTAGTCGGGTTAAAAGTTAGATCGCGTGCAAAATGGTTTGAAGAAAGTGAAATCAATGAAAATTATTTTAAACAACTGTTGGCATCAAATCAGAAAAAAACATTTATAGACAAAATACAATTAAATGGTATGAATGAAGAAACATCTGATCCAAAACAAATTTTAAAAGAAATTAATTTTTTTTATCATAACCTATACTCAGAAAATGAAAAGATGGATAGGACAGATGATCTCTTTTTTAATTTGTCTCACTTAAATATAAGTGAAGCAAGTAAGAAGTCGTGTGATGAGACAATTACATTTGGGGAATGTACTTCAATGTTAAATAAAATGTCTTTAAACAAATCGCCTGGGAATGACGGTTTGTCAGTGGAATTTTATCGCAGTTTTTGGCCTGATATAGGGAACCTTGTTTTGGACTCCTTCAATGCCTCCTTTGAGAAGGGTGAATTGTCCACCACACAGAAACAGGGTGTAATAACGGTAATAAAAAAAGAAGATAAAAACCCTTTATATATTCGCAATTACAGACCAATTACCCTCCTTAATGTGGATTATAAACTTTTGTCTAAAGTGTTGGCGGAAAAAATAAAGAATGTATTGGAAGAGGTGATACATGTAGATCAAGTTGGATTTTTGCCTGGTAGGAATATAGGAGAAGCGGTGAGAATTATTGACGATGTCATATTTTACACACAGGTATACAAGGTACAGGGTTTTCTAGTAACAGTTGATTTCGAGAAAGCTTTTGACACTGTCTCACACTCATATATGAATTTCTTACTGAAAAAATATGGTTTCGGCCGATATTTTTGTAGATGGATAGAAGTATTGTATAAAAATGTAGTTAGCTGTGTCATGAATGGGGGCTTTTCCACAGGCTATTTTGAAATAGGCAGGGGAGTAAGACAAGGAGATCCCTTAAGTCCATATTTATTCTTGTTAATCATAGAAACATTAGCAGTGGTTATTCGCAATGAACAAAAATTAAAAGGTATTTTGATAGGCAATATACAGATGAAAATAGTAATGTATGCAGACGACTGTTCAATTTTTTTGAAAGACACAGAAGATATTAAAATCTTAGAAAAAATATTAGATTCCTTCTCTCATGTATCTGGATTAAGAATTAATAGGGACAAAACACAAATTATGAAGCTTGGTTCTTCTAGTCACAGTAATGAAAATTTGACCGGTATAACATTGGGTAAGATGGTTTCTCTGGTAGAAGTTCTTGGAATATACTTCTATTTGGATATTAATGTTAAAGAAGAAATGAATTATAAGGAAATACTGAGCAAAATAAAAAGACTGTTAGGGTGGTGGAAGCAACGGGATTTAACACTTTTTGGGAAAATTCAATTGGTTTTTGCAATCTCTAAATTACTATATGTGTCTTCTATAATGTCGGTACCACAAAGTGTTTTCAAGGAAGTTGAAAAGATATGTTTTAATTTTATATGGAATGGACATGATAAGATAAAAAGGAATATTTTATATTTGAACTATGATAAAGGGGGTTTGAAAATGTTGAATTTCAAGTACATGATCTATGCACAGCGTGTAGTGTGAATTAAGAAACTGCTTGGTGGCAATAATGACATGAAATGGAAACAATTTTTCGAATATATATTCAGAACGGTATAGGAGGAAAGTTAATATTTCTTTGCAATTATAATCCCACAACCATCTAGAGGCATAAGGCAAGGTTGTCCCCTGTCTGCCCTACTTTTTATCCTGAGTGTCGAAGTTTTAAGCAACAAAATAAGACAGAATGTAAATATTAAAGGTATTACTATTGGAAGACACAAAACAGAAATTAAGGTAGCTCAACTGGCTGATGATATGACAATTTTTGTACAAGACGTTAAATCCGGAAGGAAGGTAGTAAATGTGATTGAAAATTTTGAAAGGGTATCAGGAATACATTTAAATACGAATAAAACTAAAGCAATATGGTTGGGCAAAACCTCTCCTTCAGAGACAATAAAAAATATAAGTTGGTGTGATACTTTTGTTAAATCTCTGGGTATATACTTCAGTAAGAATAAATCTTTGAGTGTGAAAATGAATTGGTCTCAAGAAAGATTCATTAAAATACAACAGCTTTTAAATTCTTGGAAACGGAGGAACTTGACATTTAAAGGGAAAGTAATTATCTTAAAAAGCCTTGTTATTTCAAAATTGATTTATACAGCTCAAGTTTTATCATGCCCTATGGAATGGATAAAAGCGTATGAAAAGTTATTTTATAATTTTTTATGGGGTAATAGAGCAAAAGTGAAAAAGGAAAACATGATAAATACTCTTCAAATGGAGGCATGAATATGGTTGACATATATGTACACAATTTATGTCTTTAAGAATAAAATGGTTGTTTAGCTTCTTAAGTTTTAAAGAACTCCAAGAAAAGAAAGGGAAGTGGATAATTTTTTTGACTATTGGATTGAAAAACTGGGAGGGATTGATATTATTATGAACTGTATATGTTTACCAAAATATGTGACTTTTTACAGAGGGAAAATACCTGATTTTTATTGTGACTTACTTTGTACATGGTTTACTGTAAAGCAAGTTAATTATGTAAAAGATATACACCACACCTATGGAAGAGTTACAAAAGAAATGATTTGGTTAAATTGTGATATCAAATTTAAAGGAAAAACATTGTTGTATAAAAATTGGATAAAATCGGGTATATTATTTTTAGGGGATATAGTGATAGGAAATAGATTTTTGACAGTCAAAGAACTGAAAGATAAACTTATCTATTATGATGGTAGATGGTTGAGTGAATATGCCAAAATAAGAACCGCAATACAACAAAGATGGAGGCGAATCATAAAATATGGCGAACAAGTTTATGATTTCAACGATTACAAACGTAAATCAGTTATATACTCTAATTTGAATTTGAATAGTTTTGAATTTTCAATACACTCTATTACTGTGAAAAAAATATATACGGAACTCATAAAATTAATCCAAAAACCATCTAGGGCGGTAGACTTCTGGAACAAAACCTTACAGACAAATTTTACTATTAAGTGGGATTCTTTATGGTTATTTAAATTGAAATATGCTCGTGATAATTATTTGATACAATTCAACTTTAAATTTATGTATAATACCTGTTAATTTATTCAAATGGAAAATCAAAGAAAACAATTTGTGTTATTACTGTAATAAACCTGGTACTATTATACATGTATTTTTTGAATGCGAAAATATTTACCGATTTTGGAACGTTATTGAAATATTATTATGTAACTCCTTCTGTAAAGATTTCAAAATCTCACCCATTTGTGTTGTATATGATTTTCATGACGCAAAAGAAAATGTTACAGATATTGATTTAATACTTCATTATGCTTTATTTGCAATCTATAAAGCAAGTGTAGGAAATCAATTTAATAAAAATGTAGTAACGAGAATAATAAGCAAATATTTTTTGTTTATGTTGAAATACAAAATAGAAGTAGAGGAAAACAAAACTAAGACAACGAATTTGAATATTATTAAGTGGAAGGAGACAATTACTAATTTAAAATCTGCTATCAAGTAAAGAGATATATAATTTGATTTGACCTCATTTAGACATGTTATCCATGCTTTGTTATGAATATTTATGTATTACGATGTTATCCATTATTTTATCAGAATAAAGATTTATTTCAACAACAAAAAAATAAAAAAATAAATAAATAAATAAAAAATAATAATCCCAAAACAATCAATATTAAGGCACCCAACCTATACTTGGATTTTTTTGAACATCTGGAATTATCTAAAGGAGAAGGAATATATTGTAAAAGAAACACATAATGAAAATCAAATTATCTTTAACAATACTTTTATTGCAGGTAGTATAATTCCTTTTAATGCAAAATTATTTCATGTGAACATTTTTCAAGTTAAACATTTGACGGACGCAGAAGGTGATATGAGATCAGGGGACTATTTCATAAGGAAAGGTCTTAATGTAGACGATCTGTTTTTCTCAATGATCTATACACCACATTGCCAGCTGCCTGGAAGATTAAGAGAATTTGCAGAGGGAGAGATGATACTCTAAATGACATTGTTGATCTTTCCAACATTAACTTTATCATTAACAAAACAGTGTATTCTTTTTAGTCTGTCTCTTCCAAAATGCTCTATAACATTTTTATTGCTATAATACAAGATGCATTTGCTTTTAAACATCCAGAGGTAATAGCTATAAATCTAGATAAGTCGGAACTACAACATGTTTCTCAATCCCCGGATTTTCCACTCTAGATGGGAAGTTAAGGGAATTTCAGTATAAACTTTTACATAACATCATATTTTGTAATGATAAATTGTATCTTTTTGGATTAACACAGTCAAATTTATGTTCCTTTTGTAGAAAAGAAGTAGAAACCTATCGTCATATCTTCTTTGAATGTTCTGAAGGGTCCAGAATATGGAATGAGATGGGAAACAGTTTACAGATGTTTCAGTTTCTTAATATGCAATGGATTGATGTGTTGCTTGGTTTCAGAAAAAATATGAAAGATAATAATATTGTTAAATCATGTATTGATTTTGGTCAAAATAATATATGATTTACAGTAATCGTAAAAATGGAAAGTTCCCAACTAGCCTGAAGAAATATGTAAGGCTTTAGAGAACTCAAAAAAAGTTGAACATGAAAAAGCAAAATTAAAGGACAGACTGCCAATATACATTATCAAAAATGGGAACATTTTACCCCTTAAGGCAGGGGAAGTGATTGTATGTATATTGTAATTCCTGTTTCCTGTTCACTCCCTCACTTTCTCATCGATCCGGACACTTATCTGCTATCGTGTTCGCTTGTTTGTTATATTTTATTTATTGATTTTGTTTAAATAACGGTATAGTTACAGACCTCCACTGATACAAGACCATTATATAGTTATAATGAAAAATGCACCATATCATTATAAGTAAATATAACAAATTTTGTTATCATGGGATATGAAGCAGCACCTTTACCTTATACTTTTTTGTTTATATAAGAAAATCTTTGTTCAGATTGCTTAATTTATATTGAACTAATTAATTTGCATATTATGTTGTAAAAATTGTTCCTTTTTATAATGTTGTATCAAAGTATTACCGTCACCTTTTCCTTTTTAAAAGGAATTGGAGCACATTCTGTACACTTGTTTGAATGTGTACTATATTAGTTTGGATACTTATGAAAATATTTTTTAAATATGTCTGTGTTTATAATGTATAAGCAGGCTCGTAGCCAGGGGGAGCGGTGGGGGCGGTCGCCCCCCCCCCCCCCCAAAAAAAAAAAACGCCGGCCAACTGAAAAAAAGAGAGAGAGAAAGAGAAGAAAAAAAGTGAGAGGACGTAGGAAGAAAAAGGGAAAAGGAGTCGAGAACGGTACAATTACGAATCGTCTTCTTTCTCTAATAATTTAATGAAACTTCAAACTTCCGCGCTTCGCGCGAAAAGGAGGAAATTGAGTTCAAATTAAGGATTAAGAGTAGAGAACGGAACAACGAATAGTCTTCTTCGTCTCCGCGCTATGCGCAGGATCGGCGGACTGAATTCAGACAAGGATTATGAGTCGAGAAATGTACAAGAATCGTCTTCTTTCAAAATCCTCCCTCCCTGCACCTACCCCCTTAATGAAACATCAAAACTTCAGAGGAAACTGATTTCAGATAAGAATTAAGAGTCAAGAACGGTACATCGAATCGTCTTCTTTCTATAATAAATTAACGAAACGTCAAAACTTCCGCGCTTTGCGCGGGAGGGGGACCGTAGGATTAAGGGTCGAGAAAGGTACAACGAATCGTCTTCTTTGTCTAATAATACGTCAAAGCTTCCACGCTATGCGCAGGAGGGGCGGACTGAATTCAGACAAGGATTATGAGTCGAGAAAGGTACAAGAATCGTCTTCTTTCAAAGCTTTCGCGCTTCCCCCCTCCCGCGCGAAGCGCGGAAGCCCTACCCCCCCCCCCCTAGGGAGCGCGCTATGCTCGCTCTTTAAGTGATTCGCACCCTTTGCGTGCTCCGCCCCCCCCCCCCCCCAAAATGAAATCCTGGCTACGCGCTTGTGTATGAGACAATGTACTACATGTATATGTTTATACTGTAAGAACAATTGTGTTCCTATTCATCATTTTGTATAATTATGAAGATCGAATAAAGGCAAAAAAGCTTTTAAAAAAATGGAGCGCGTTCATATTGTTCAACGACATGCACAGACGAATCCTAACCTAAAAAATCTACTTGGAAAAGCAGAAAACTGCTCAATCTTTTTGGCCTTTATATAAAATAGATATAGAGAATTAGATTCCATGACATTTGCTCCGGCGACAATTGCTCCGCTGTAAATTTCATACACTAATCGAATGGCTAACTTCAACCCTGGATTCAACACTATACCCTACCCTAAACCTAACCCTAAACCTAACATAAAACCCTATTGAAACCCTAACCCTAACCCTACATCTTAGACGAAATAAAGCCCGGAGCAATTGTCGCAGGAGCAAATGTCGTGTCACCAGAGAGATTTATACAGTGTATAGCATTGTGTTGTTATCATTCTTGTGCTTTTCATGATTTTTTTCCATAAAAGTAACAGAGTGACGGAGGAGATGATGGACATACGAAATCCTGAATAAATGATGGCAGCCGATGGCGCATAGACTACTATTTTGGAATTGTTTCGCGAAAATGGCTAAACAGTTGTGTAAAAAAAATATGCGCGCGGTCTGCGCTGGCAAGAATTAGGTGCCAATCGCGGTGAGGGGTTTTCATGGACCAGTAGATCTGAGATTATATTATCCAAAAAAAGAGAAGAGTACGAATTTACAAATAGTACCAAAAAAAAGAAGAAAAAAAGTGAAAGGCGTAAATATTCTAAAAAAGAATTAAAACAAGAACAACATAATTCATTAACTCTTTAAATTGACACCGAAACTTCATAATATTTAATTCCAAGCAGCTCTAACATTAAATGACTAAAAAATAATGAGTAAACGAGCACATTAACCCCCCATAATCTTGCACTTCGCCAATAACAAAGGCCAAGATAAATCTTTATCTCACACATTGGGCAATTAAGTATCACAATCACAGAAAAGTAGAGCAGCAGAAGTGAGAGCAAGACGCCCTCACCCACAGCCTGGCGGAAATCATCGGAATCGATGGCTAGCGCACTGTACTGATCTCTACGGAAAAATCTGAGATCAGTGCAGTGGGCTAGCGCCGATAAACCCGACAACAACAACAACAATCCTATCATCAGTTTGGCTGCTAGCTTCCGCTTGGTCTGCATTGCATTGCATTCTGATCTGCAACCAGCTGCCTAGGCCTATACGGTACCTACACAGTTAATTCTTCTAGTTGTTTGTAACAGACATCATTCATCACCCTCTAGCCTAGTAGTAGGCCTAGAGGTCTAGTTGCTCTGTGAATTGAAGCGAATACTTTGACGTTATCATCATACTGTTCGGACACACGTCTGGCACTGGGTACCAGGTTAGTGCCGTGGATTGTTTTCTCTAGCCTAACTTGTATTGTAGTTATAGATTAGATCTAACGTTAGATCTAGATCTAGACCTCTAGAGTCTACATTTATTTTTATAAAATGGCTCTCTAGTCTAGTAGAATTTTAAGCATCGTGATTGGTCAATACGCGTCACATGACATGTACAAGTTTTTGATGCAAGCACGATTTTGCAGAAATGAGTGCAGAAAAAGCACAAAAAAAGTTATAGTCTAATACACGTGACCATGGAGATCCAGCGCGTACGTGTAGATCTAGTACGCGCTCCCTCGACCTCGAGTGCATTGCAATTATTGTAGGCTACGCGTAGCAAATATTGTACGCTCCACCATGATCCCCAGCGCAACATACGCGTAGCTTAGCTCTAGCTAGCTAGCTAGCTAGCTAGCTAGAGCGGGTTATTATTAAAAAGCAAATTTTTATTTTACTTTTGCCTTGGATTTAGATCTAACAAAAGTAAGATCTAACGTTAGACGTCTAGAGATTCTAGGCCTGTTTTGACTTTTGGATTTTATAATGAAGCCAGGAATTTCGGCGCTAGTGTAGTTCCGTATCCATTTTTTTAGCAGATTCATATCCATTCTTGGCAAAGGAATTTTAGCCCAATAGAGCCTTGAAACAATCATTTTTTCATGTCGCGAAATTACGTTCATAATTAGACAGGCCCGAGGGGATGACCGGCGTGTCACTGCCCGGTCAAAGTCCACTATTAATTTTAAAATTTTGCGCGAAAGTACATTAACTTGAATCGGTCGCACACACCTACACAGGTAATTGCAAGCTGCAATCCTGATATCGAGCCATGGAGGGACAAAACAAAGAGAGAAAGCCAACAGTGATTGTAGTTAATCATTAATTTTTTATAAACCCAGAAAGTGATTTAAATTAATTATTACCGTGGAAGGTTTGAAAGTAATCCCGAAGAAAGTAAAATTGAATGCCCTTGTTGTAATTTATAGGTTTTTGGAGATGAATTTCAATATATTTTTGTCGCCCCTTTTTTCAAGAAAGAAAGGCAATGAGATCTATACTTAGATCGACAGTTTGTTGTGAGCAGGGCTCAAATTAATTTCTTGTCAACGGGGGCTCTTCCAAAAAAAAAAAGAGCCCCCGTGAGTCTTCTCACGGAGGGGTCTTTTAGTACTGACGGGGGCTCTTTAATACATATTTCCATTGAATTGGTACCCATGATACTCCTAAATTCTATGCTATTTCATCATTATCGGCATTATTTCCCTCTTACAACTTTACAAGTTATAACATGCAGCTTATGGTCAGATCTCCTCCTCCCTCTGTACAAATTTTCTAGTCCAAGCCCGTATACATTCGCCTCCTTGCCAACAGGGCCAACAGGTTTCCTTTTACTAATTTTAGCTTTTGGTTGATTCACTGGTTGAGTTTCATAATTTGCTGGTCTTTTGGAATCACCAGATTTCAGAGGATTCACGATTTTCACGACGAAAAACTTCTCCACGTTTCGGTCCTTGCGCGATCGCCTCTAGCTCCAGCAGACATGGGGCGGCAGCGTGCACACCAGTATACTACCAGCGCAGCTAGTATAGCCACTGCTGACAGCCGCATGGCACTGCAGACTTCTGTGTTTGTATCCGTAATACCCTTTAAGCGTTGGTTGTGAGTAACCCTAGCACATTTCACATGGACAAATTGTTTAATAGATCTGGTGTTAAACAATTAAGAAAACTTGTAAAATTTATAACAGGATTGAATAATACAATTCCTTTGTTCGATCCTAAGGCTGAAAGGCATGGTCCTATTTTTGTTAATAAAACTGTAGCTTTTAATTTTTTTTAATTAAGGTTTTATTTCCACATTAACTGTATATGAAAAGAATTTACAAAGTAAGGCATATACTAGGTAACAAAACATGTACATAATATTCAATTGATACAACAGTAATAAAAACGATTTAATGGCAAGTCATTAAATACAAATGATGCTAACAATAATCTGCAGTAATGAGGAGGAAACCTTGGAAGCATTATGCTTGTAATTAAGGTTACTTGTAGTGGTAGACAAACCAAACCAAAAGAAAAGAAAATTATTCCTCTAACAGCAGAGACCCCAAGTTCAAAGATCTGCAATGCGTGACATTTTCATGATTCGGCGCGCGAGCGCGCGTGCAAGGGTATAATACACGTATAAGGTATAGTGTTTTTTTTTAATCTAGCGCATGCGTCGTGCTTGAGAGCGTTTTCAGACCCTCGAAATGTGTGATGTCATGCCTAATGTGTGACACTTGGTAGCTCTGTAACAGGATTTTATAGTCACTTAAAATATAGAATGATGATAAGCAAAATATTTCTGAAAGAAGACGGAGCATTTTTCAGCCCAGAATTCGGTCGCCCCGAATAGAATTTGGTCACGTGATTTGTGCGTGGTATCTCCGTTGCCAAGGAGCGAAGCGTTTTTGTGCACTATTGCGTGACAAAGCACTGAATGTCAATGCGTTGACCGAATACTGGACGAGTGCTACCGCATCTCAAGGGTATCGTATAAATACCTCTTGCACATCTGCAAGTGCATCATTTGCAAATTCGCTGCGATGGAGCGAACACGGAAGAGCTCCTCTTCACACAGATACTAAATTCATTGCGACATCACACATAGTTGTTACGCAATAGACTTCTACATATGGCTATGCATGTTAGCACATGCGCTAACAGAACACGGAAGTGCAGAAAGTTGTGCGACACTGACCAATTTCGAGTTAAGTTGGAGATCTTTCCAGGGCCCTATACCTGATTTAATTTTAAGGGTTAAGAAAAGTTGTTCAGCTGCTTGATTTGTGCAAGTTTCGTGGCTCATAAATTATTTTAAAAATTGTTACAGCTGTTGAAACGGCTGTCTGACTGAATACTGAGAATTGACCAAATACCAGGCGCGCTACCCTAGTGTATACTTGGTCTTTAGCTCGTGTTTATTGTGTTTTAGAAACAACAAAATGTATATTAAGAATATAATAATGATAATAATAGCCTAATAGTCCACTCCAAATTTTATCACATAGACTTTTTATGCCTCCGTTACGAAGTAGCCGGAGGCATTATGTTTTCGGGTTGTCCGTCCGTCCGTCCGTACGTCCGTACGTCCGTACGTCCGTACGTCCGTCCGTCCGTACGTCCCGTTCTCGTGATCGCGTTATCTGAAGAACCGATTGATGGATTCCTGCCAAACTTTGGTCATGTATGTATCTTGCAGAGCCGATGAACTGATTAGATTTGGGGGTCACGAGGTCAAAGGTCAAAGGTCACAGGGCTCATTATGTATGCAAAAACAGCTCGTGATCGCGTTATCTGAAGAACCGATTGATGGATTCCTGCCAAACTTTGGTCATGTATGTATCTTGCAGAGCCGATGAACTGATTAGATTTTGGGGTCACGAGGTCAAAGGTCAAAGGTCACAGGGCTCATTATGTATGCAAAAACAGCTTGTGATCGCGTTATCTCAAGAACCGATTGTTGGATTCCTGCCAAACTTAGGTCATGTATGTTACTTGCAGAGCCGATGAACTGATTAGATTTTGGGGTCATGAGGTCAAGGTCAAAGGTCATGCGGCTCATTATGTATGCAAAAATAGCTTGTGATCGCATTATCATTAGAACAGATTGATGGATTCCTGCCAAACTTAGATCATGTATGTATCTTGCAGAGCCAATGAACTGAGTAGATTCTTGGGTCATGAGGTCAAAGGTCAAAGGTCATGGGCTCATTATGTATGCAAAAATAGCTTGTGAACGCATTCTCATTAGAACTGACAGATGGATTACTATTTAACTCGGGACATCTTGCGGAGCCAATGAACTGAGTAGATGTTAGGGTCATGAGGTCAAAGATCAAAGGGTCATATATGTATATGAGAAATTGCTTGTAATCACGATATTCTGAGAACCTGTTAATGGATTACAATTGAACTTGAATTTGAAAAATTTCTTCTGTTTTGGTTTGTAAATTGCTCAATGACGGAGGCATCATTTCGACTGCGCGCAGTCGAAGTTCCATCTAGTTTATTACTGAAATGTCTTTTTTAACACTTCTCATACATTACTGCATGACACTCGTGTCTAGTGCTGTGAGAATAAGGTACATTGTACTATGTGTGAGACTACGCTACAGTGTACATTTGTTTGGCGCGTGATCTGACTGGAGCTCATACATATATATTGTGTCGCAATAACCTCTTTTCTTGGCTTGAACAATGACGTCACTGTTCACAATTTTCCTTCTCATTTTGAGATGGATGTAGCTATGGGGCTCAAACCAACGCAAGATTGACATAAACATCATACTCTATCTACCTTTGAATGTTCAGTTTGTAAAAATCTGTATTTTAAAAGATATAATTTGTTTTTGTTTATATTTTCTAGTTGTTAGAAGTTAACATCTGAAATGTTAATCTCTATCTAAATTTCTTTGACTTTAGCTGGATCCCATATTTTTAGGGTCTACCTTCTGCCAATGAGAAGGATTTTAGTGATCAAACCTCTGCGCCCTCTAGGTTTTTCTTAGTCGGTCCTGTGTGCGCGCCATGTTCTTCTGTTACCACAATTATTGGATTCAAATATGTCAAAATGTGCAAGATTGTCAACATTATGGTGAAAGACCGTTACAGATCCTTGATTAATGATTATAGGTATGTTGTGGAGTGTATAATTGTATTTTTGTTACCGGTTTATATTTTTATTTTGTTTTCTTTTCTTTTGGTCAATTTTCTGAATTGGACAACGAGCACACAAATCCTAGGTGTAGAACCCTTATGCCCGGAACCTAGTGCTAGATCTAGATCTACTTAGTTTACGAAATTGGTAGCTACGGCTAGGGCGTAGGCGCTATGCCAAGGCCCTACTTACATGTATTACTAATAGGCACTTCAGTCACGTCACAAAACCCCCTCAGCCTGGACAACTCTTGCTAGCAGCGCGATCGCTCAAACGCGTGTACTGTATTTATGAC